GTCGGTTGCGGCAGTGTCGGTTGCGGCAGTGTCGGTTGCGGCAGTGTCGGTTGCGGCAGTGTCGGTTGCGGCAGTGTCGGTGGCGGCTGTGGCGGTTGTGGCAGTGCTGGCGGTGGTGGCGGTGTCGGTTGTGGCGGCGGTGGCGGTGGTGGCGGTGTCGGTGGCGGCAGTGTCGGTGGCGGCGGTATCGGATGTGGCAGTGGTGGCGGTGTCGGTTGTGGCGGTGGTGGCAGTGGAGGCGGTGTTGGTTGTGGCGGTGGTGGCAGTGGAGGCGGTGTTGGTTGTGGCAGTGCTGGCGGTGGTGGCGGTGGTGGCGGTGTCTGTTGTTACGGTATCGGAAGTAACAGAGGCTGTTGTGGTAGTGGCTGTAGTGGTTGTGGCTGTGGTGGTAGGAGCTGTGGTGGTAGGGGCTGTGGTGGTAGGGGCTGTGGTGGTAGACGCTGTGGTCGGAGTGGCGGTCGTGGTTGTGATTCTTGTTCCTGCAATCACAAATTGTTTATTAATTAATTTTTACGAATCACTTTACTGGTTCGTAAATTTCATGGGTTTTTTTTTTTACTGACTTCTCATTCTGGGAATAGAGGGAAAGATATAAAGATTTTCAAGTAAATTATATTGTCCGAATATTTATCGGCATCGTATAGGGAAAAACCCTTGCATTGTTTTTTCATTTGATATAAAACCTGCTCATATTGGGCAGTTAATTTTTGAAATGACGCTCAAATGAGTTTAATTGAATAATAATTTAGCTGCTGTATATCCTGCTCTTTCATTTCTCTTGAAAACGTTGGATTTGACCATTTCTTCCCTAGAAATATGTGCTTGATCTGGTATTCATTGCTCCCATTCATTGATTCTGATTTTGCCAAAATGTTGGCTATAAAATTTTGACTAATAAATTTTACATTATTATTTTTTACATTAAGAAGTAACTTTTTTTTGCTGCATCATTCGAAATTCCTTCTTGGTTTTCTCAGGAAGGACACGTGTCAGCATTCCAAATATGAACTGTCAAGCTTTGGGTAAGACCAGGCCATTATCATGCTTGAGGATTGCAGAGATCACCTGATTCATCAAGTTCTTTAAATGTATTATTTAAAAAAACACGTTTTAAAATGTTTGCCTTCTATACAAGCTATTTTCGCCGACAATATTTATTTTAAGTTCTTTGCATTATAAGCAGAGTCAGGTTAACAGTCGTGGCAGAAGAGTAAAACAGGATGAGAAAATGACAGGACAAATCGCACCAGTGAAAAACTCATTTGATCTAGCTCTAAATTGTAGCACGGGCATATGGTCATCGATACCCTTCGGCTTGGCCCCATTTGGCAATGCTCGCATAGTTCAGGGCATCACTACCGCTTTATCTTTCAAGCGAACTCGATTGAGTTTTTCGATTAGATTCAGAGAGACGTCCAGCTGCATAAGACACACAGGTAGCCTTCCACAAGTATTAGGCCCATTGCTGGGTAAATATACATGCAGTCGGCTTGGGATCTCACATCGCCGGACACCCTAATTTATATGTTTAAAGCAGGCAAGCATAAGAAATGCTGTCATTTTTGGCGCATCTCAAAGCCCAGCTAAGTCGATTGCCCAACTGGTCTTGGCTGAATCTTTTAAGGATGTGCGAAGCCAAAGAAAGCTCAGCTTAAAGGATATGAGTTGCGTGTAACGGGTAAGCATAGCCGTAACTTACTTTTAGTAACGCGTCATCCGCCACTATCGAGGCAGCAAATATTTGCAAATACTCTCTCTCGACATAACGATGGACTCTCAAGATAACGAGTTTCTATAGAACGAATGTTTTAGCCAGTCCTCGAGTACGTTATTTCGAGTGAACCTCCATATAACAAATTCTCCCCATTACGATTTTTTTTCTACCCTGTTCCTTAGAGTATGTTATATCGAGCGACGACTCTTTGTAGTAGTGCATGCACTGCATACACTTTACCCGTCAAGGAGTGCATCACATTTTTTTCTACCTATCCTCCAAGCCTTCGATAAACGTTATGCCAAGTCTTTCATACAGTCATGTGAAGAGTGATTGAAGCCGACTGACCGCAGGAGATCGTGCAAGTGAAGAGGGACCCGGGTTTATAGTTGCTGTAGTAGGCGACAGTCAGACTCCTGCCCACGATCAACGGGTTCTGCAGAGTGCTCGCGTCACCCCTTGTGGAAAGAAATAAAAAGATCTTGAACATGCTCCACCAAAGGATTCGTTTCATGCGGGTTTCCAATAATTCCAGTGATCAACGCTCACATCTGATGAATGTATACTAACCGTTTGGAATTGTAGTAGAATATAGCACCACTGGGAAGGTTCATGGACGAGCACTGGAAATACATGTTCAGCGGACACTGGAAGAAGAAAGTTCAGGAATTTAGCAAACTTATTCATTGATTACGCTGGAAAATCCAAAAGACCTGAAATTGCATCGAATTCTCACATAGAATCTCCAGCTGCAAATGCGGGGGAATGCGTAGTTCTGTTGGGTCAACCCCAGAGACTGCCCGTTGGAGAGGTACTGGGAACTGGAACACGTATACGTGGGAGCCGCAGTTGTGACGGCCGAAGGAGTGGTTGTCGTAGTTGTGACGGCCGAAGGAGTGGTTGCCGTAGTTGTGACGGCCGAAGGAGTGGTTGCCGTAGTGAGAGAACCTTCACGAGTGAAAAGGACAACGATTTTCCAATTGCATGGTCGCCTTAAGGGAAAATCTGACGAATGGCGCAGCCAGTGCTCCAGCCGTCCGAAATAAGGGGATAAGTTACATCTCATGCAATGAATATATTTCATTTGATTTCACTAATAATTTATTCCGCTTATATAAGATTCCGGTTCGTCTCACCTTATTCGTATTCGACGAAGAAACTCACCATGAGGCGCAGCATCACCTGACAGTTGGAGTCATAGTTTTAAAAAATATAAACTTTTAGCTAGAAATTACCAACTCGTACGCAATGAAAGTGCTAGCTCGAGAGAGCGAGACGGACACCCAAAATCAAGCAGAAGAAGGCCCCTGCGCGTGCACACATCGCTTGCGGACGTAGAGACCCCCTATCCACCTGGTCAAAGAACCAGGTGGGCTGGATTTAGAACCAGGTGGACGTCCCTCCCCCCCTCCCTTCCCCCCGGTGGATATCCACCTATCCATTCACGCCCATGTATTTCGAGCCAGGTGGACGTCCCTCCCGTGTAGAATTTCCCCTGGGTGGACATCGCTCCAACTGCCTCCCACCCTACTGCCTAGGGGTACATCCACCTGGTTCAAAATCCACATGGGTGGTGGCCGTTTTGTCAGGGTCCACACGAATATACTCGAGTGTTCACGTAGACAATAGTGGGTGTGAGACTTTTTAAATATCGGCTGCATTAATTGAATATCTTACAGAAAGGCAATAAATATGACTTAAATTTTTGTTGCATAATTTGATTTCTTCTCACGACTATTCAAGGGTGGGGAGCCTGCCAGAGTAACGGCAGAAATTGCGGGCCAAATTGTGTGCGGTTTCAACTCTTTATTCTTAGAAATACCTAAAAATTTACCTGGAAATAAAAATGTACACTTGATTTTTTTCTTAAAGAATACCATAGACTGACCCACTTCAAAATTCTTTCGAAGCATGAACTATTACGAAGGAAATATGCTAGGTTGAGCTTCTCCCTCGATTGCTCGAAGAATTGCGTAAAGCTGGAGTGCGAGATAAAGCGTTTTTTGCAAAATGTGCTATTTGCTTTCTGGAAGCACGGGAGAGGACAGAAGGAAAAAGAAAGTCTAGGAATTGCACAAGAAAACCGGATAATTTTTCTAGGTGATAAATATTGTTAAACTTTTTTAAAAAGTATTTTAAGCATGGGTTAACACATACCGCCTGCATATCTATAAATAACGAAATTAGGAATGATTGAAGCCGACTCACCGCAGGCCACCGTGCAAACGAAACTAGAGCCCTGCAAGTAGTTGCTGTAATAGGCGACCGTGAGAATCCTGCCCACGATCAACGAGTTCGCCAGATCGGCCGCATTCCCCCTTGTCGAAGGAGAGGAAGAACCTTGAGCATTCTAGCCAACGGGATTGCATCGCGGATTGCTTCCGATGCGTCCAGCGAGGGACTGTCGAATCGGATGGATGTGCACTAACCTTTTGGAGTTGTAGAGGAAGACAGCTCCTCTGGGGAGTTGAAAGGGCGAGCAAGAGAAATGCATGTTCACCGGACACTTAAGTGGGAAAAAAATTAATCTGACATGTTTTCTCAATAACTTCGAGGTAGAAGAAAGAAAATTCCAGGCGATGGGGTCCTGGGGGGGGGGGGGGCAGTTGCCATTCTGAATTATTTTCTGCTATTCTGAACAATTTCTGCTCCCCACATATGAGGAGGGAGGGGGAAGATGCTGTAGATTATTTACCATGAGATTTTCTGCTGGGAAAACGTCGCGGTCAAACAATATCAATTCATCATTAAAATGAAAATGAATTTAAATACAATGGATTCCGCTTCATTGGGACACATTGGTTTTACGGTCGATATGCACCAATTAAGCGGCTGCTCCAATAAAGCGAACTTACCTCATAGCATGGTTAAGAAAGCCAGACACGAATGTCCTTTAATTGCGCAAAAACAAAAACTACTAATAAAGAAATGTGCCCATAGTTGCATGTTTCGTTCCCGAAAATGCTTCTCTAAAGCACCGATGCCAAGAGCACCGTGTCCGCTATCATCCAAACCCTGCTCGATAAAGTAGCGGTGAAGGATGTCCGCCGAGAGCTCTTACGTGGCTTCTTACGCGAGTCACTTTAGGTAGAGTCTCAGGCTCCTCGTATGCGGCATTCCCTTAGCAAGGCCTCTTGGCAACGGCGTCCGAGACTATGTCGTCCTCAAAGTCATCGTGTTCGGTGAAGCACGGGGCGTTTTCGTCGATGTTGACGTAGGCTACTCCGTTAGAGACATCGATTATGGTCAGACACCCTTCATTGGTTGACGCTGGCACCTCTGGTTCGGAATAAAAGCCAGATCTGCTAGAGCGGTTTGCGATGGTCTCTGCCTTAACGGTCGGCCAGCTCTTAACCACAAAGCACGCGACGAAGAGGAGCGAGAGAGTGGGCGGAAAAAAACCATCTGGGGCCGACGGCATGAGTTCATCTCGACCTTGCCCCGATAAAGCGGATTTTCGTCCCGAATATATGGCGAAATTTAAAAGCACTTGCATAGAAATGGTTCCGTTCCAGACAGATGTCCCGATATACCGGCTGCCCCTATTAACCGATGGCCCAATAAGGCGGAATCCCCTGTATCTCAATTGCATTCGAATATGTTCGATATCTGCTCCTGCCCAACTTGAACTGGCAAATTTTACGGGGTTGGGTGGTCTCCCTAACATTTGCAAACTGCTTTACGATTGCTTACGGTGTATCTCCAGCTGCAAAATTTGGGAAAGACGTAATTCTTGTCGGTCAACTGCAAAGTTTGCCCGGATTCCAGACTGAACGAAGAAGAGCAGGCAGTCGCTCGCTTTTGCAGCGCGAGAGGCGAGAGCGGAGACAGCGGCTCAGGGAGGTTCGGCTGAGGGAGATCCGGATGGCGCTGGTATGGCAGAGGCTGTTTCCACAGCGACGAGTCTAACATCCTCACTGTGAAACAGATGGTTGAGTTCATGGGTTATTCACAACGGCTGATGCGAATTAAAAGGTTAGTGATGCCTCGCGTTCGACTAAGAGACACGAGTCCCACTTAGGATTTTACAACTTCTCTTTCATACCTCCTCCATGGCTAGCCTCGAGCTCGAAGAGTTCGTCACCCAATCTCCCCTCCTGGAAGGACGACAAATTAGCTGAATTAGTTGTGCAAATACGTCGCTAGTAAGGTAAAAAGGACCTCGTACCTTTGCACTGGCGCGGACAGGGAAGAACATCAAGAAGGACGTCAATAGGGACATCAGGAATCCTGCTGCAGTAGGTACAGGGGACTTCATGTTGATTCATGGGTCTCGAATCCAATCCTGGAAATGAACTGTGCTCTCTCGCACCAGCTTATATATTTATTCGCACATGCCTCATGCCAAAAGCAATTTTTCCCCCTGGTTCATATTTTGTGACGCCACGTCCGTGGAGCCACTTGCACACATGGGGCTCAGACGTGGCAAAAGTGCAGTTGGATCTTTACGCAGCTGGCCCTCTCATATCCTGGAAGCCTGACGACTCTGGCATGTCGTGTCTGGTCTCACCTGAAACTCGCACTTCATGTATGAAATTCACCCCAGGTTCTACGGGGGCGGATCAAAAGTAACGGCAGATCTTTTTTTTTTTCTCGCATTTCTTTCTATCCTCGACAAAATACTTTTGAGGGTAAGTGCCACAGTTTCAAATTTATGCAAACATACATTAACTTCATCATGTGCCACGAATGATTAGAAAATAACGGTACCACTGGAGACACGCTCCAAAACTCAATAGCGATTCGTTTCGATTCGTTTTCCGTGGTCGAGGGCTTCAATGCTGCCGAAATTCACAGAGGAGCGAAGGCCCAGTACGAGGGCGTGCGCGAGTGGGTGCGAATGTTCCGTAACGGCAGGGGAGGCGCGTTCGTTCTTCTGCGAATTTCGGCAGCATTGGAGCATAGGACGCATTTTGGCGTTCAGTTTTGGCGCTTGTCTCCAGTGGTACCGCCTTTTTCTAATCTCTCGTGGCAAATGATGAAGTTAATGCATGCTAGGTTCCATAACGAACTGTAGCAAAAGCATTTTGCCGAGGATAGAAAGATATGTGAGAAAAAAATTATCGGCCGCCTCTTTTTCATCCACACTCGTAGAATCCCAAGTCGAAACTGAAATTCCTCGGCGGGAAACTCTGCAGGAATCGCCTGGAATCGCATTTGAAGGCTACATTCATTGGAGCAAGAACGGCCTGAGAGGACGCAATGCGTCCTGCGACTTACCTTGCCGTTCCAGGCTTAACTTTTCCAGTAATTTTCCTTCCAATTACCGTATTCAACATTGTCAGGGAAGCAGAGGTGCTATGGAATACTCCTATTTTTTAAATCATTAACATAGCTTTATTTTGAATTGTGTAAATAAATGACATTAATATGATAATATCATTATTGAATTAATAATCCATAATAATAAATGAACAACTCCTTCTTATTGAAAAAAAAACGCATTCAAATTGTTACAAATTAATCATGTAAACCAGCACCCTTCCCTTTGGATTTGATTTCGCTCGGAGACGATTGGGAATTTTTTTATTTTTGTTAGCAGGATTCTCTGCAATTCTTTCGCTTAGGAATTTTCTCGATTTTGTTGGTTTTTCTTCTCAGAGCAGTTTGAATGCGTCTCTCGGTTTTCATTTAGGAGGATTTTTATCACCCGTACAGAAAAAGTTTCAACATGTTGAAATTGAAACCGGTGAATCAACGGTGATTCACCGTTGATTCACCGGTTTTCAACGTCTGTTCAACAGGGGTTCAACGGTATTCACCGTTGATTCACCGGTGAATTACCGTTGATTCACCGGTGAATTACCGTTGATTCACCGGTGAATTACTGTTGAATCACTGGTTTTCAACGTCTATTCAACAGGGGTTCAACACTATTCAACATTGAGTTATAATTATTATAATATATTATGAATAATTTATTTAAAGCATGTTGATTCACCGGTGAATCAACGTTGATTCAACGTTGAAACACATTTCACCGGTGATTCACCGTTGATTCAACGTTGAATCAACGTTGATTCAACGGTGAATAACCGGTGAGATTTTTGTACGGGCAGGTAACTTTTCATGAATTATACCGAGACGGTTTAAATTATACTAACATGGACGCGCTTTTTGAAGGTGTTCCTTCGATTCCTCTTCTCAAGAAAGCGCCAGAAGAATTGCAGATTCACTGGCTATTATGACTTATTGCTGATTATTATTATTATCATCACTATTATCGGAGGGATGCGTTGGGTTTGCCTCGCAATTAGCCTTCTGGCGCTGTTGGGTCCTCGGAGCGAAAAATTGCATGGAAAATGTTTGTCGGCGTGTGAGTGCTTTCGTGGAGAGTGACGCGACTGGCTGGATGGTTGCTCGCCTGCTGAGTGAGTGCCTTCCCGTCTCTCTCATGCGTTCTGGGGATCTGTGCTGTGCTGAGTGAATCTGCCTCGGTTGATTTCAAGGCGTGATCCCATTTTGAGGACGAGACGCACATAACGCAATCATAGCGAGATTTGACGGTTTTTGTGCAGGGCGGAGCCACGTTGCAAACATTTCCATAATGATACATTTCACCACAAATAATAGCATTTTCACTTTAAAGAATTTTTGCCTTGATTTCGGCTATTCAAGTACCTATTGACCGTTTTTGCGATTTTCCAAAAGCTCTTTGTGTTACCGTGTTTCCCTCTGTCAAAAAAAAAATATTTTGCGAGTTTTTGGGCAATGGGCAATAGATTTTGTAGCTAATTCAGAGAAAAGGGCATTTTAAAATCTGGTTTTGCTTCATTCCAGCTTTAATTGGAGTCAAGAAACTCTTTCCAAGCTCAACAAGAGTCAAAGGCAAAATATCTGACCCCGAAACAACCGGGAGAACCGAAGCGCAGAATTTTGGCATATTCTCACGATTCATGGCGACCACTGAGCACGAATTTGTGCAAATCGGAATCCGATGGGCAACTGAAGTTCCAAAGAAGTTCCCACTTGATCTGGAATGCTTCTAAGGATGAATGTGTGGGGACGAAAATTCGCCTGTTTTTCCATTTTTTTCCGGGTCCATCTCCAATGCTATTCCATGCACCGTCTGCAATGCTCCTCCACGTCGTCCCATGGTGTTGGGGCATCGACGTCGGATGCCGCCGCCCTTGCTGATGCCATCCACGAGACTGGAAGGTGAGCAGCGACTTTGAGGGATTGGAGGGGGCGCGGGGTTGAGGGATTGGAGGGGGCGCGGGGTTGAGGGATTGGAGGGGGCGCGGGGTTGAGGGACGTAGGGAGACGGCTGAGGGCTGGAGTGAGGCAGGATTTTAACATTGTATTTCCTTCTGCGAAGTGGGAAATATTTTATTTTTAGTTCCATTGCTTCATAACTTTTTCCATGGGTGTCCTGAAAGTCTGGAATCAATGGCGATTCTGAAGTTTTTGTTTTTCTTCTATTTTCAGCTAATTTTGAATTATTTGGGGGAACGCTAAAAGCCCGTGGGTACGAAGTGATCAGGGAGTAATTCAAACAACGAACTCGAGACGTTTGTTAGACCGTTGACGAGAACCAGGAACTGCCTCGCAGTGAGCAAAGAAACTTGAAATATCGCATCCAGACCTGTTTTGAGTTAGATGATGGACGTTTCGAACAAATGATGTAAATATGAATCGTTTGCGAAGCGGAAATGAGAAACTTTTGATTCGTCATTGGTTCCAGCCGTTTTGATGCAGTCCACCCTGACTCCTCCGCATCGCATGTGGCTTTCTTCGTGGTCCGAGTCGTCATCGAATATGCTTTAGAGTCGTTATCGAATATGCTTTGCATGTTGGCCAGACGGGTAGACCCGCACCTTAATCAGAGTCTTATTTATCTTTGAGATCGCGCGATTTCCTTATCTTCTCTTATCTCATTCTTCCCAATTACAATGCACCAGTTTTTCCGCAATCCATTAAAAGCTTTCCAGTGCAGATTCCTCTTCGCAGGTTTTCCATGGCAGATTCCCCATTACAGGCTTTCCATTGCAGATTCCCCATTACAGGTTTTCTATTACTGATTCGCCATTACAGAATACTTTACAGGCTCTCCATTGCAAATCCGTTTCGACGGATCTAAACCTGAACTAGGCGTCTGCTTCTGGGTGACACGGACTTCAAGGAAGGTCCATGGATTCACTCATGACTTCACTCAAGGTCATTGCGAAAGAGGAAGATCCGTCTGAAGCGAGGCTTCATCGATGATCATCGTTGAAGGAAATGGCCAGCCTGTGCCAGAGGTCGGGATTAAGAACGATTAAAGCCGCTTGGGAAAAAAATTCACGAGAGAAAATAAATTTCACTTACAAAGTGAGAATGATGAACAAAACATGGATATGAATGAATTTGATTTTATTGGATGGCAAGAAATCAGAGAAACTCAGAAGAGAGATAAATATTAGCAACCCGATCGAAAATCCGGTAAATTTCGCCTTCTAAACAAAATAAAAAGGTGAAGCAATATATATATATTCTGCAATATGAGAGGAATCTCAGAAGAGACGATTGAGTATCTACCTATAATTATATATTACGTTTTCGATTACCTATTATGATTCTAAAATTAGTATGTACCGGCTTTTTTTTCCCGATGAGATTCGAAAATGTTAGACAAAACGGGAAGGACCGATTGATGCTCAACAAACTTGATCACTAAAACTGAAAACAGTTTTCAGTTTCAGTTATGAAAAACCGAAAACAAAAAAAATGTTAATCAAGCAGCAATACATTTTTATAATTTATATTACTTCCTTCTTAAATACCAGCAAAAAAAAGCGACGCGTCCGATTTACTATAGAGCTGTCCACGGCGCGAGAAACCGCAGACTCCGATCGGGACTGCACCGGAGACGATGGATCACGGAGGCTGGGAACACGGAATGGTCCCATCGTTGAATAACACATCGCTGATGAAGGTGTCCACGTAAGCTGGGAGGAGAGAGCGACCCGTGCCAAAAGCGGCGAGGGAGAAAAAAAAAAAGGGAACGGATGGAAGGACTCACCGCTGGTCTTCATGAAGGCTCCGGGTCCCCCCGGGGTGCAGCCGACATCTTGGAAGAGCTTGATCCCGACGTGCAAGTAGTATCCGCCCGAGGTTTTCCTCATGAGAGGACTTCCCAAATCACCCTGCAACAGTGACGTCACGAGACAACCGTTCGAACGATCGCGAGACGTTCGCGGGCGATGAGAAACTGTCGCTCACGGTGCAGACGGCTTTATCGGCTTGTTGAGCGCAGAACATGTTGTCGACGATGTAGCTTAAACTGGCTTTGCATTGAGTCGAGCTGATGACTGTCATATTCGCTTCTCGCAAATCATTCGATAGAGCTCCACCTTGAGTAGGGCACGAGAAAGGCATCGAGGGCAATATCAGTAAAGCTATCGTCAGAGTGCGTTTACCGCATAAATGTAAAAATTTTTTTTTACGGAAATGGTGATTGTTTTTGATGGATTTACAGAGATTTCAAAAGGAGCGACAGAGGATCTAGGGTTAATCTCAGTCGACCCTCGCTCACCCCAGGCGGTGGCGCCCCACCCGGCGACGACGTCGACGTCCCCCACGGCGGGGCCGGAGGCGGCAGAGAAGCAGATGGGCCGAATGTACGGGATGGCCCCGAAGGCGATCGGAGTTACGAGCGTGATGATGGCGATGTCGTTGTCGCCGTTCAGGCTGTTCGGGTCGTACAGGGGATGGACGGTCACGGTGCTGCTGGGGATGTCCAAGGAGACGCCGTCCGTGGTCGTCCCTAACGTCAGGTCTCCCAACGTCACCGTGACGGGGTCCGTGTAGCTGGTGGGAAGGATCCACTTTCGTTACGCGGGCGGAAGAGTCTCGCGACGAATTCGCGCAAAGCGCCCGTCGGCCTTAAACTTAAACGGATCATCCTCGAATGCGGACGGTCGGCTCTCGACGACAAAGAGGAACGACACATCACCTGTCGAAGCAGTGTGCAGCCGTGAGAACGTGCAATTCGGTGATGAGCGCCCCCCCGCAGAACGTATCAGGCGTGGGGTTGAAATGCGCCATCCACGGATACTTCCCCTGACCTGGCACGACGGTCCCCCCGACGATCCGGTCCCCGTCCGACGTCGAGCGATTCTGAGCCGCGCCCGCTCGCTTGAAGGATCTCTGGGACTGTCCGCAGTCTGGAATCGAAAAATCGGCACGGTGAAAGCGCCGAAGGAAAACGGCACGGCAGACGTCCCGTCGTCGAATCCGATACGATATCGAATTCGTGTCGGTGCGAGATCGTGCGTACGGCAGCCAACAGCACGAATTCGGCGTCCGAACGGTTCTGAGACCTGTCTCATTTAACCATCCGGATGGTGCAGATTCGGCGAAGCAGCAACGATGAAACATTTTCAACATCGAAAACACTGAATTTTGCATCGTCGAGTCGAAACGGTCGCGCCGAACGGGCAAGTTAGTATCGCGGCTTCGTTCAGCTACCAGGCTGTATCGATTGCGTCCGGTAGCCGGTCGAATAGAAAATTACGAAGGAAATTGGGATTTCCCCGAATCGGGAAGATTCGAGGGAATCACCGTCTTTCGAGCATGGGAACTTTCCGCTTCAGGCGATCAGTCGATGCAATGGTGGGGAGTTCTTCGGTATTGTCAAGGATGAAGCTGAAAGTCTGCAGCCGCTAGACGCGCTTACTATCTGCGATACCTCTCATCAGAACTGGATGAGAACTCACAACATTGCGGTGTTAGAGTGACGATGTCGGTGCTGGCGGTCGTCACGGTGGTGGGGGTTGTCACGGTGCTGGGGGTCGTCACGGTGGTGGGGGTCGTCGCGGTGGTGGGGGTCGTCGCGGTGGTGGTTGTGGTTGTGGTTGTGGTTGTGGTTGTGGTTGCAGCTGCAAGTTGGACAAAGAATTCCTAAGTTTCAATAGTATCAACTTCGTTACAGAACTTGAGGAATTTTGACAAGCGGATCGATTGGATGCATTTCGTTTAGAAGTGTTCTGTGGTTTCAGCGGTGCCAAAACCAATTCGCTTCAGCTGATCCTGCTCTAAGAGAAGTTCATTCGAAGCCACGATAATTAAACAGAAGTGCCTTAGAAATGTGTTGCATTCCCGCAGATTTCGTTTCTAGCGGCGCGGTCTTCGCGGTGACCGCGTCGATTGCCTTGAAGAATTTATAGCACTGGCAGGACTCAAAACTGAATTTCCCCCTTAGGTCCCCCCCCCCCCTNCAAAACTGAATTTCCCCCTTAGGCCCCCCCCCCCCCCTTACCCTCGATGAATTCAGAGGCGATCGCTCAGTTCTGCAACCCATTCCTCCCCTATTCGTTGGTTACATTGCATACATTTACGGACCGAAAATTGAAGCGAGGCGACATTTGTCCGACTATGCACAAGGAGTAGAAATTGCATCTCGTAATTCACTAGTGATGTCTGGAAATTTCCATATTGGAAATTACTGGATAAATTATGCACATATCTCTATTTGGGATCGCCGAATAATCGTCCAATACAAGGAAGGATTCTGGACTTCGTCTTCATCTAAAATACATTTTGAGGTCGAATAATTTTTTGATTCGCCGCGGGGAAAGAAATGGTTGCTCTCTCCATCGCCTCTTTGCGATCACAACTGCATCGAGAAGAATTTGGAACTCATAGGCTCATATTTCCTCAAACTCGATAAATTGCTCTAAACTACCAACGTGGCTCCGACCCCCAAGTCGCTCACATCTGAATCATTCTCACAAACTGATGAAATTCACCCAAATCGATAGAACCAGCCGAAACACTTTCGGCCGCGCGTGACCCATTCCGCCCGACCGAACGGAGGGAAGCCTTTACGCTCGACGCATTAGCGCAAAACGAAGTGCATCGAAAGAAGCGAATCGAAATGCATCGAAAGAAGCGAATCGAAATGCATCGAAAGAAGCGAATCGGAAAGGAACTGACTGCAGATGACGTTGCAGCCGAAGGAGGAGCCACTCCCCGGGCGTCCCTGAGAGAAGATCACGGACAGGGCGGGGCCGACGTTCACTGGGGTACTCAGTCCGAGTGCCGTTCCGGCCACCCTGGAAGGAAAACGGACCGATTGACGGAACGATTGACGGAACGATTCGAAACTGTTTTAGGGTGTGATGCGATTTTGCGTGGCGATGCTGACCCGTTGTAGGTGAAGGTGGCTCCGTTGAACAGATTGAGATACTGGCATTGCAGGGTCATGCTCGTCTGACACTTGGGGTGAAAATTAATTCAATTAAATTAGTATTGAAATTTTCAGATCACACCGTCGATTCCCACCGAGAACTCACGGTGAACTGCCAAGTGCAACCACGCGAGCTAGGCGTCGAGATCCCCCAAACCTGCCCGGGTGAGAGGGTCGGGGCAACGAGGCAGGTGGACGGTTGAGGCCGCCCCCACCACCAGTTTCCCCAGTATGGTCTGCCGAAGTTCCTATCTGCATGACCGGTTCTGGGAAGTTATTTCGTTGGGGGGGGGGGGGCTAAGNTTGCAGAACTGAGCGATCGCCTCTGAATTCATCGAGGGTAAGGGGGGGGGGGGAGGGGAGAGGGGTGGAAAGTGAGAAAAGTGGTATGCATCGATGGGGTAGTTTTCCTTTTTCCTTATTCCCAAGAATGTCCGATTTCAATGAAAAAAGACGCTGCGAGTGCTAAAGCTGTTTCCGACATTTTTTTTATGACCACTTTTCCTTTCGGCCCTTCAATGGACGTGATAAGCGCACGAAATTTCCTCCTTACCTTCGTCGGATTGCGTCGAGCTTTCGAGGAATCTGGAGCTCCTCTCCTGGCAAGACGATCGATTCATCAGTTGCAATTGCATCGCGAAAAACTGTGAGAAGTCGTGGGAGGGCGTACCTGGGTGCCGGCGTGGACCGGGAGGGAGACCAGGAGGGAGACCAGGAGGGAGGCCAGGAGACCAGCGGCTGAGATCGGGATGAACTTCATGGTCTTCACTCGCTGATTCGTGATCGACGCTCCCGTACTCCAACTTTTATACTTTTCAACCTGGCCTTGGGCAAAATGCCATCACTGACAGCAATGCAGATAGTTGGAGGCATCACGAACGCTCCCCCCCCCCTCCCCTCCAGTCGCGCACTTGGAGCACGGACATGAAAAAAGGTAATAGCGCATGTGGCATGTAGAACAGGATGTGGCAAGCCTCTGCGCTGCGCGTTCGCATCTGTTCTTAGGATGTTTTCACTTTTCGAGCCAGAAGCAAAAATGCCTAGATTCTTGGACGCCTTGCCGCTGAAAAAAACGAACTGGCGAGAGAAAAACGAGCGTCTTTCGAGTGCATGACGGACCAGTTGGCTTTTTCTTTTCTGCATCTACTTTTCTCCTTGAGTTCTAGAGGAATTGCCCTGTCGATATTTTCCTTGCCGATACTTTCGGTTCGTTTGAGAAAGAGTCGATCTCTTTCCTTCGAAAGAGGATCCTTATGGTCCTTTCCCAAGAAATGATAGAAGCTAACGTGTGGAACCTGAAGAATTTCCTCCTGGCGAAGAATGTGCCGGGAACAACTTTCATCAACGGGATGGACAAATGGATCGCCATCGAGTTACTCAAGTAGCAATATGCGTGGCACTCAACGTTTTCTTCGAGACCTGTGAATTACACCTACAACGACCTCAGCTGCAAACGAAAATGGACCGAAGAAAGATGAGATTGAGAAACGAGAGGGCGGATCTGAGGACTCTGGAGAATTCGCTGATGTTTCACCTGTCAGGTGAATTTGGAACCAGGTGGATGTCCCCTTAGGCGTATTTCTATCTGTTGGAGCGATGTCCACCTGGTGAAAGATCCATCTGGGGGAACATCCGCCAGTCTCGAGAAACACGAGCGCGAATGACCAGGTGGATTTCCACCAGGTGGAACATCCGCCTGGTTCCTCATCCACCTCCCTTCCACCTGGTCATTCAGTCAGGTGGATGCTTTGTAAGTGTTCTCCCCTAGGGAGAGGGAAAAGGGGGGGGGAGAGGGAAAAGGGGGGGGGGGGAATCTGGCGAATTTTCACGGGACATTCGAACGGGAATTTCACCATTTCCTGGTGGGGCAAACAGTCATATCTCATGAAGCAATTGAGTGCCAATCTAGAATTTTGTATTGTTAGAAATGGCATGCACTATTGAAAGAAATATAGGAATAACGAATTCACGAGGTAGCAAGTGTAGATATTGGTCATTGAACTTGACCAAACCGGTCAAGTACAACGTCTTGCTTCAGCTCAGGAGAAAACTGCTTGAAAATCATTTTAAAGAAGACAATCCATCCATCCTATATTAAAAAACGCCAAGGAGATTTATGGTAGGCGTCGCCTCTTGCCTATAAAGCTTTTACCTCTCAAGGACATAGGCTATGTTGCCCCTTGGCCTACATGCCTTTCCTTTCCATGTCATAGGCCGGGCGCGTTTCGTGATTCGTCAATGCAACTGATTTTGCCTACAAGTCTGTGCCTTTGCAGGACCTAAGTTGGTTGGGGTGTGCTAAACGGCTTAACAGTACGGGATGTGATGCGCTTGCGTAAGAGAAGCGGCTGAGGCTGCGTCGGTCTGCACCGACCTATGAACAAATTGAAGATATCAATGCCAAAGGAGAGGTGCATTAATTGCAGAGCAACATGAGGCTGTTAACGCTGCACGGAGAGCAGCGCGCTTACGCGGCGAACCTTTGAACCTTTGAGCGAACGGCTAGAATGACGCTCAACGTCATTCTAGCCGTTTTGCATGATCGCGACCCTGTGCATGTTGAATGGTTTGTTGAGCACTACCTGGCTTTTCACTTCGAACTGGAGAAAGGCAAACTTCGGCAAGGTTGATTATGTCATGGTATTCCATTCGAACCTACTGAAGTTTCCACTGATGGGGAAGACGAAAACGGTCGCAATTTTCGTGAGTTTAATAGACAGAACAACAGCACAAACGCGTCCGCTTCCTTTCGGCGCAACAATCGTTGACATTACCGATAATGTTCCTTACTGCTTCTAAGAATCCGGTGAGGTCTATTGGGCGATCCATGTGAGCTCATCGTGGGTTTACCAGGCGATTATATTGCAGATAATAAGGTGAATGAGCTGTTTGGGCAATGACATAGGGTCTGCGATGCCGAAGTGAGGAGCAAATTCCCTCATTTTGTGTCCCAGGAATAAGCGCTCCATTTTGGTCAATGAGGACGTGTCGTCCTGATCGTAAGGCGAATTGTACTCACTTCACACGACCAAAGTCGTGAAGAACGATCATGGTGGTGATGACACCGATCGGCAGGCCGCCTTTCCGTTTCAATTCTTCAACAATATCAATGCTCAGGGTATTTTTCCGCACGCCCTTATCCTAAAAATGGGATATATCCTGATGCATGTACGGGATCGTACGATTGGGAACGACCTTTGCAACGACACACCTATGATCGTGAGGGACCTGACTGCAAATGTCTTAACACTAGGGGGGTTAAATGAAAAGGGGGCAATGGCTGTTACTCTTAGTCTAAGAGAGGGGACTAAAAGTCCCCATTTCATTCGAACACCCATAGTAATTGAAGTGATGACGGGTGCACCGAGTGGCTGCCTTCACTTGCTGCCCAGAGTTTTACTGGACACGTCGACCCAAGTCACCATATCGTTCCCTCTTGGCCAACGTCAATTCCCTATCGAGCTTACCTACGGTACGACCAGTGGCGGCTCGTGATATTTAGCGCTAGTGGTTCGTCAATGGAGAGGGGGTAGGCAGCGACCTCCTCTGCCTACCCCCTCTCAATAGACGAACCACTAGCGCTAAATATCACGAGCCGCCACTGAGTACGACTATAAACAAATTTCAGGGACAGACATTTGATGAAGTCGGATTACTACTTACGAAGCCTGCATCCATTCATGGCATTTGTACGTTGCCTGCTCGCGAGTTCGCTCATAGTATTCGCAGACGATTCAGGTTATCGATGGAACAAAGCAGGGGAAAACTGATTCTGGCACCGTTGACCACGATGTGGTTCTTAAAGAAGCACTACTTTTGTTTGTCGAGTCCGTTCGTCGAGACTGTACATTTGGATTTTGTACATTTGGATTTAAACTTTCCGCTTCGTTCCCACGTGTGTCCCGTTTCCTGATATTTAATGGTTTCTTCCCTTTTTATTTACTTTACTCATGTTGAACTAATTTTGGTTGTAATTTTTGCACAGTGCCAGATGTAACACGCCGTGCCTCAACAAATCTTTCATGCTTATATGTTCCATCATTAACTGTATATCAAAGTTTGGCAGCGGGAACCAGGCTAAGACTATTCTTAGTTGATGAGCTGTGACAAAAAATTATTTTTGCGCGTAAAAGGTCGCAATTGCGGCCATAGGCCGCTAGTTTCATAATTAAAATGACACCAGAATGAAGATTGTATCTTGACTAGAGGAGAAGTGATTGCAGAAAAAAATGTCACAACTCCATATTTACATTTTGGGCACCAGGAAACAAAATTAGGCCGCATTCAAATTCATAAATCTGGCGATCTGTACGACAGATAGAAACAAAATTAAATTCAGTTTCTTTAAATCGATTCAATGGCGATTTTCGTCAAAATGGTCGAGCTCACGCTCTGGTTGATATGGTGTGGATTATTTATCGATTCGATGAAAGGCTCAAATTGATGGTGTTCGCAGTTGCTCTCTTTCCTTTTCCTTCCCTCTCTGCTTTTATTTTTCAGTCTGAATGGCTGATGACGTCATGGCGTCGTTTTTCGCGGAGGTTTGGCGGATTTCGCAAGCTGTGGGCAAGTATGCGAAGGTGTTTCCTTCTTGTTTTTCTTTCTCGCTCCTTCTCGGTTTGTTCTCATATTAATTAGGTTTCATTTAGGGTCCTAGATGTCCAAAGTCCAGTCTTTTCCTGAGTCACATTTCGTTCTCCTCAGTTCGTTCGGAGACGGGCTAGGTTTCATCATCTACGAAATTACACGACTAGCACGATGACCTTTATTGACAGTCGTGTTATTGTGACAATTGATTTTCATGATTTAAAATAATCAATGATAAACAAATTGTAGGAAAACAAAAATATACCTCATTGGGATTTATAAACATCCCTGCGATGCTGAAACCCATTTCAGCCAAACCTTGTCGATACGAATTCTGGGGGACCTGCCAATTCAAGTCGTTTTAAGCCGTGTCAGAAGCAAATCAAGACTGACTCGGGAATGTTGGGGTTCCGATGGGGACACGAACGAGTTCGTTTCATCGGTAGTTGGTGCTAAGGGAGTTAATGAAGTCTCACTGGTTTTTTTGGACATGTGTGCTTTTCCTTTTGACGGGTGTGAAGCGACGATGAGGCTTTCGCCAATATCGATGAGGAGAGTTCGGTGCGGTTGTAATGTAAATCATGTGGGATGAGAGGTGAAACGAAGATTGCTGTGAACCGTGGCAAGTTCTTGGATACGTTCCGGCCCTCCTCCGTCATTCTCCTTTTCCCTCATTTTCCTTTTCCGTCATTCTCCTCTCGGCTGGCTGTTTCTCCTTCAATGGGATTTTCGGCTTGGAACTCTGGATCAACTTAGTTTCCTTGCCGGTCTTCTATTCCATATGACTTTTCTTTAGAACGCTATGATTCCTTACACCGTAATAGTCAAGGTCCTGAGAAGTTTCCTAATTTGCATCAAGTTTCTATCGAATTCGATCCTGTCCGTGGTCTTAATTTTACAACTTTCCATCATCATCGTTTATTCAGGAATACAGGGGCCGTTGTCATTTCACTCCTGAACTCTCTCGAATCATAGGTTTAACGGGTGCATTCGGACGCAGTATTATTCCAATGAAATTTGCAATGGCACAGGAAAATGGAACGCGTCATCATTCAGAAGGTTACGTCGGTTTTTGCGCCGGAGTGTGAGAGCAGGTGCAACAGGGCAGAATCACATCTGCTTCGTATTCTGTCTGGGTTTCTGCGTCTGGACTGGATGGAACTATGTTGAACTTGATCGTTTTCCTGCGTC